GTTCTTGGGAAAAACAATTGATACAGATTAGAAAGGTCCTGACTGTAATATGGCATTCATTACTGGCCGAGGCACCTTTTGCGAAACCGTACTAGCGTCAATCAAAAGCTGCTAAATTTTGTCATCACAGGGATTTGAACAACGAACCAATCTTTCCATTCATTTTTTGGTGATCAGACCGCTCCGAAAAATGAGGCATAGCTGTCCTCCATGCACGCCATCACTATGCAATGCAAAAAATAACCATCAAAAAACTGTTCACGACTCGAAAGACTTTTCTGGTTAGCTGGAGAAGGCGCTGATGGGAGTATAGGCCGATGTCAGACTTTGCGAATCCAGCGATTCGCTAGCGAATCGCTGGATACGAGCGTTGCACCAGCGAATCGAGCTGTGTACCAGCGGATCGAACGATGTACCAGCGACTCAACACTGTTTGAAAGTGGCGGATTTCAAACAGTGTTGAATCGCTGGTACATCGTTCGATCCGCTGGCACATACCTCGATCCGCTCGTGCACAGCTCAGTTCGCTGGTGCAATGCTCGTGATTCGCAAAGACTGACATCGGCCTAACGGTTGCCGAGTTGCGTGGTCAACAAAGGGCATCGTAATGGAATGCTGTCCTACATATAGTGGCATCAGAAGTAATCGTCTTTTTGTTTTTTGTGCGTAATTTTTTTTCTCTGGAAAACACACAAAGATAAAATAATGCCTTTTTTTCAAGTGTCTCGATAAGAGTTGAGGATTCAAGGAGAATGAGAGACATGAAATATCAGAGTTTGAAGATTTAATGGTCAAATAGGAAAACATAATGCGCGAAAAACAGTTCGGTGAAAACTTTTGACCGCTAGCGCCTCTTCTTTTACAGCCGCTGGTCTTCGGTGAAACACTTTTTTTACAATTGAATTACTGTTTTTTCGCATTATTTCTTATAGCGGAGGGGTCCAAATGATTGACAGCCCTCATGGTTATCCATTTTATGCTCTGCTTCTTGGAATAAATCTTAGTCTGAACAATCTGAGATGAACAACCAGGATCACCCACGCGCGAAGATCCTCCTACGTGCCAAAGGACGTGCTTGCCTGTAGGAAAGGAAGGTCGCCTTTGATGGTAGAATCTAAGAGGAATAAAGTTGGAGGGGGGGGAGGGTAGGAAGGGGACAATCATAATCAGAATATAGCGAAGGGATCACGATGGAAATGGAAAAGGGAGTTGAATTTTCCTCGACACCAAAATAACCCGATATCAATTCTTATGGCCCAGACTGCGTTTTCACACTGTTCACGGGTAAGAAACACTGTATAATATATCGAATGTCTAGCTTCCGGAAGCCATTACAAAAACAAAAACATGCAAACATTTTTTTCATGAACAACAAAGCATAGTTGAGGCGCAATAGTTTTAAATTCACTTTAACAGACCCCTCTAAAAAATATGAATTTGTGTTTGCGCTTCAACTCAGCGACAACTCACGACTAAATGACAAAGACCATGCTTTGATAGTGTGAGGTCATGGCTGGACCCTGAAGTCCTCATTTTTCAGGATTAAGTTGGGTTTGGTGACAGGTGGATGGGCATGTTCACATCGATGGAGCTGGAGCAGATTCAGCAAAAACACCCGGGACTTAACCACATTCGGTCGGGTACTGTGGCGACCATATCAGGGTTTGGCAAAGATTACGAGTAATCGGTAATCAAAGCGGCTTCCGAAGGGAGGAGGTAAGCCGACCGCGATTTCTTTATCAGCGCCTCCTTCATCATAGGCGGCCGATACCCCTATCGTTCCGCAGAAGGGACGCCGTTCCCGCCAGCTCTACTAATCCTTATGCGTTTGGGGGAGGCGAGGGAGACGAGTTGGTCGATTAGGAGCAGAGAAGAGTAGCCTCAACAGAAGGAGAGAGTAGCTACAACACCACGCGCTCAACGGCGGGTCCTATGACACAAATTTGTCTCCTCCAAGCTTGGTATAGAAACAGCGGCGATAGACGCGTCCCCTTGGGGGGAGGATAGGATATGGCTCTGTAGGTGCTCTCATCTGACGACGAGACGAATTAATTGCATAACTAGAGGCGTGACTGCAGGCACATCACGGGGCCATGGCCAGCGCGTTACCGTAAACCTTGAAGTGAATATTGCAGATCACTTCCTCGTACACGGCGAACAGTACTGCTGCTTGCTCCATCAGTCAGTCCTCCCCATAAAGTTGGGGGCGCCATACCTCGTGAGGGTGTGTAGTGGTCCGGAAACATTCGGGGTGCTCGGCTGCCTGCTTTACACGTCTCAATCTCGATCGCTCAAACGTGCGAACGACATCAGGAAAGAATGACGATAGGTTTTCAGAGCAATGAGCAACGTGAGGGGGCGGGGGTTTTTCGCGGATAGGCGGAGCTCCCCACTATCACTTTTGTCGTTGTCCATTTCCATGCTGTTTTTCAGCTCCTTCTCTCATTTCTTCTCGAAAGTGGAATATTCCACTACAGTCTCAGCACAAACATGGAGGACACGTCCTTCGAATGTTTACAATGCTATCGTTGCACGTGAGTTTCCGAACAGATCGGCAGGTTTCCGAGTTCTTACTTATGCTACCGTAATCTAGGCGTCCAATTCAATCTGGACTACTGTGGCGAGATGGCGGAATTCTTCACGTAGCCTACTATGACGGTTTCATCCGCGTCGGTATCATCATCGAAGAGTACGACGACATGCTGCTTGTTCAGGTTCGATCCCAACACAGCGGCAGAGTGCCAGACGGGAAGATCCACTCATATCCTCTGCGTCTTTGCCCATCGATGGGCCGAATTTCTAACAAAGATGTTTTTAGCGTTTGTCGGTCTCCAAAAACAACGTGAATACACTGTTGGAAGTGATTTCCACAGAAATTAAAGCGTCTTTCGGACTATGAGGAAGCCGAAAGAGAGAAACGAATGAGTATGCTGGAAAAGATGAAGAGCCTCAAAACAAAGGTGGGAACCATTGTTAAGCACCACCTTCCTTTAGGCTTCAATTTGTTCAAGTTGGCATTTCAGATACTTGATTCACCAGCATCCAGCGGATCGCAGAATGGGGAAAAAGAAGAGGACAACGAGGAGATCTACGCTGCTTACATCGAATTCTGCTCATTGAAAGTCGAATTCCGAAATCATTCAGTAAGTACTTATAGATAAATTTTCCTTCAGCGGGCATATCACCTGGTGATCATCGAACTGCTCGAGCGGGCACCATCGGGCATATACAGAAAATAACCCAACACTTTCGCGCTTTTTGAAGGAGAGCATATTTAGGCCATTCAAAATAAACCACAGTACTTCAAAGAAATTTGAATATAAATAATTGAGCACATTTTAAAGCAGAAATACGAAGTCAACTAAGTTCGTGGTAATGCTAGGGAGAGGCATTTCATGAAAACGGAAGATCCAAATCGCTACCAGTTTAAAAAAAATGACTAGAGAACGCCCTTCAAGTGCGCACTTTGGTCTACAAGTACCGACTGGTCCAACATCGCCTTGGCAAAGGTGGCTGGCAATTCACACCATGGGAAAGAGCGCAAAATTGATGGCTCACCCACATGACGGTTCTCACCGCCCATTCCTGTCCAAGCAATCAAGCCCTTTCACTCGGGTACACGACAGGAGGCCCGTCGCGCGGACAACAAGGCAGAGTCAGCGGACGAGTCGCAGCGCGTACTGTAGGATTTCGCGTCAAGTTAAATAGAGTGTACCATTGTACGTCCTACATCGCACATCACGCGCTGCGACTCGTCCACTGACTCTGTCCTCTTGCCGGGCTTCCTGTCGGGTACCCCTTTCACCCTGATGCAGCTCATCCAGAGGATTACCTTTACGCGGAGGCAAAAAGGCACACCTGAATATTGCCTTGATCGCACAATCAGTCAGTCAATTGTAGATCCCTTGAGATTTATTAGGATAGCAAATGAAGGTGGAACACTCCAAAAAGATCCAGCAACATGCGCAACTTCTCGGTAATAGGGTCTGCAAAAGGTTGATGCCTTTCAACCCAGAAAGGCTTCTAGCGAGTGTGATACAAGTCCTCGAAATGACATGTTCTACCATGCTTTTTTCTAAGTAAAATCTATTCAATTTTTTTTTTGATTCTAACATATGGACGGCTTTGAGGCGGAAGGAAGGGCAGGGGGGGGGGCGGAAGTGGTGTGGGGCAGGTGGCGCTGCACACGCACGGTCTGGGATCAAATCTCTGGTTGCATGCCGTCCAGGCTAGCCAACCATCCTGTGGGGTTGTTGATTGGCTTCGGACTAATCTAGTGAAATAAAAGCACTGATTTCCGCATTTGGCCCGAACAATTCATAGTGTAGACCAAACCCTTCGATCCACTACGATTCTGTAAGTGAAATGCAGGGCGCACCTCACAAGAGTTCCATCAAAGTCGAGTTTTCCTTTTATAGACCACTCTAGGTCCCTTGTGAAGCTCTCATTAGCTCAATCTACCCTTCAACCCGGTAGAGCTGCTTGTACCTTTCGGAAAGAACCGAAAAGGTATCAACTGTGGGATGTTCAGGGCTGTACAGATAATATACTGAATTTGTGTTAAGGTTCGAGCCGATCGTGTTTCTCAACGTCTAATCGCCTTGCGAAAACTGCTACTCCTCTCACAGAAAGCTATCGAAGCTCATAACGCCATGACCAATTCGATATCGCTGATCGAGTCTGTAAGTTCCTTGGAGGGCTAAAATATTCTGGAACCTTTCAAAAATACTGGACCATTAAGGAGTTGGACGAATTGACACGTTTCTCTCAACTCCATGATCAGTGCCTGGAAAGCGGCGATTTCAATCTGATCGAGAAAAGTCGAGCAGTTTTCGAAGAACGAAAATACACGGTTCAGGAGCTGATGCGTAAAGCGAAAGCTGGTGATATGAAAACACTGATTTCTGAGTGGGAAAAGAAGGTACGAAAGTGGACGATTAGAACGCTTTGGGCCATAGCACAGGTACTCATTTAGGTGTCAAACATTATCGAATCGATGAATGGCAGTTGTGATTCGGCCAAAGACATGCGCCTTATCCTTTCACAGCATATTTTCGAGCATCGCGCCGAGAAGAACGTAAGTTGGGGCACACTCATCAGATAGCTAGCCCTTTAATGTATCATTAACTCAAAATAATTTGAGAGATTATTCCTAAAAAAATTCCTATAGCTGTAAAATGGAAGGAACATGACTTATTTTGTGTCTTCCTCTCCCTTACGAAAAAAAGCAATAAATAGCGCGGCTATTCGCTGCGCTACAACCGCGACACCTACTTACTTTCGCACGGGCCCTTAGACGGAAGCCAAACGTTTAGGCATGTCCTCTCCCTGTGCTCATCAGTAAGGTCACCGTGCGGCGACGCGCATATTTGTGGCCTGTTGCCGGTATGTTTGTGCGACAGTTGTTTCAAACAGTACCTCTTTTTATTCGGAATCCATCATAGCGCATATCTTTGCATGTCTGCGTCTCCACCGGTCCCCACGCTTCGAACCAATTAGTGTACGCACCGTACCTCATAACACACCTTACGGAAACGTCACATAACCGTGACAGCGGCTATCATAGTACCCTTCGAAAGTTCTTCGCCTCAATTCAGAAGGTCAGCATATTTTTCTAGGGGTCCTTATTTATTTAGACTCACAAGCTAGGCCTGATCCTGACAAGAAAGGTAACTGAGTGGTTCCACAAGAATGCTGGGTTGTGAACAAAATCATCGAACCAGGTGGGACGAGAAACAAACAAAAATAGGTAACTGAGTGGGTTTCCTTGAAGGAAAAATAGCCTATGCTGTTAAAAAAACTCACCATTCCCTTGAGTGTCAGCCTTGTTGCAGATGCCAGCTGTGATAAAATAGTGGCCTCGAGGCACGTTTTCGCGTTCCTTTTTTTGGCCCGTAACATCACATAAACTGTCCTAGAATGAAAAAGGGTCACACAGCTAATAACAGCCTCAAAAATCACGTAGGTCTGTATCTAAACCCCGTAAAGAACTCGAGCTAATGATCGGTACCTCATTTCTGATACTGTGCCAGCAAATCCTCTAGGATAACTTGTCCAAAGCCAAAGATTGACCATCAAAATGAGATTTCGATGAAGTATGACCTGATAGGCAGGTCTAGGAATGACCCTTGTAGCACCAGCTGGATCCGATTAACATGGTACGCGAACAGGAGAAAATGATTGCATGAAATGAGGAGTACCAAAGAACAACTTTAGCCTAAAAAAAATGCGTTTAAACTGTCAATGGTCACCTAAACGATGTGATTGGCTTGCTGAGTGAGGCGGCAGAAGTATAGCACGAATCTGCAACCGAAAGGTTTTAGAACGAATCGTTCACTCATAATGTTAGAAAAAAATGCAGATGTAAAAAAATGCAAAAATGAAAGTAATACCTTCACCTCAGATACGTCAAGGTTACATTTACCCAGAAATGTTGAGCTACCCTTTACTTCATCATTGAAGATGTTCATTTCACCAAAAAAACAAGTTCGACATCTTCAGGCGCCTTTCAAGCTGTAACCTTAAGCTTAATAACTAACTTCCAGTAGATCTCCTGATAAAATCAGTAGAAGACATTTATTTTGAAAGAAGGGACTCTCGCTCAACTTTTGTGTATAATGTGGAATTTTATTCAGGAAAAGCAAAACAGTGGAAAAACTCGTCCACTAAGTGTTCCGGTGTCAGATTAGAGATGGAGGCTTTAAATGTGTAGTCACAAAATGAAGAAAAAGTTAGGATTATGAAAATAAAGAAAAACAGTAAAAAAATTGATCAATGTTGCACAGGAATGAGCAAAAGAAAAAAAGGATGCAGTGTGGCCTGTCAGAGCAACCGCAAACCGCACTGACATCGAGTAATTGATAGACAGCGACAATATTTGACCTGCTAAAGTGTTGATGATGGTGGTTATCAAAACCGAATCGATTCGTATATATTCATTTCCGCCGCGATTCACTGGACCGAATTCGCCCTTTTTCTCCAATTTCCCAAAACGCTGAGTTGAATGCGGACTTACAACGGGGAGCTTCAGGCTGAGGTGGTTCAGAGGGAAAAGCTTGTCATGAGGAACTCATTAATTTACATCTGGGGAAAGCTGCCCGCACCTAACAAAACTGACTTTGAGAGACATCGCCCAATACAGGAGTAATGAGCAACTCCTTCCTAATTCCTAGAGATTTCTTCCGGCACTTCTGTGGCCGAGGTAGTAGGGCTTTGCAATAACGCAGAGGCTACCCAGTCCCTGTACAGATCAAAAGTGGGCGCGGCAAAAATGCAGAACTCTGTCGCTTCAACCGCTGGCAGCAGCTTCAGGCGACAGACTGTCTAGGCTCTTGCTCGTCTGCTACGCTCTCTCGTCATACTCGTCTGTACCCTCTGCCCTTCACATAGTAACTATCTGTCTAGTAAGGAGCACATCAACGACATCTACCTAAAGGAAGGAATTCCTTCTTCTCAGGGTTCCTAATTAATCTTTTTTTTCTCTTTTCTTATTGGAGTCCACTTCTGATCTCTACTCTCCTTTTCGGTTGCATGGTCATATTCATCGCGGTATGTGCCTTTAGGTTCTTTACATTTCTGAGGGAATCAATTCTTGAATCTATTCAAACCCTTTAGGGGTCCCAATAGAAGGCCCTAACAGAGCAGGGGTTGCGGGTGTATGGTGCGAGGATGAGTGCCGTGTGATTGGTGATGGTGGGCCTCTCGTCAATGGCAGACGTACTTCTCTTAGAAAAATAATAACCGTGTTGTACATCTGACGGGATCTAGTAAAGATTTAGCCATAGGTAAAAGTAAACTCTAATTAAGGAAGTCGAAATACCTTGTTCAGGATCACTTACGACGCCCGCCGCGCTCGCACGTGCGTCATTTCCATGCTTGACGATACTCAACGAGACAGCCGACGCTTATTGGCATGTCTGCGTCCTCTCACGCGAACTTTTGCTAGGCGTATATCCACGTAAAAGGAAATAGCGGTATGTGGTGACACGGTCGCGGGCACAGTTTGCCATAAAATTGGTCCACCAACCCAACATGAAGGGTACAGGCTCAATCGCCTTCAACTGCTATTACAACATTGATTCAAATTGAATGCATGGCGCATCCCAAAAAGACTGTTTCGAGAAACATTCTTCATATTCCAACCTTTCCACTCACGTCTTGCGTTATTCATTAGATGAATCGACTATAGTTTCAACCAAATCCATCCACACTAAACATTTTTATGGAAAAACAAAGCTTTCGACATTGATATGTTATTTGTCGGGATGCGCCATGTATTTCACTTCAACGCGTGTATTTGGTCCACGTAATTACTTGCGGATCAGTTATGTAAAGTCATCGCTTCGTCTTCACAGAAATCTCTCGTACCAGCTAGCAGAGCTTCGAGTAGTATAAGGGCCCTGAAAGCGATTCCATACGAGACCTGCCTCAGTGTCACGCCTTTCAAAGGGCGCTGCGCCCTGATGCTTAAAGGCAGTGAAAACGATCGCTGGAGGGGGCGGAGCGGTTTCGGTTACATCGAAAGGCGTCATTAGTGGATCATGCCCCTCTGCGAGCTGGGCGTGTGGCAGCCGTTTTGATGACGTAAACAAAACGCGCTCCGCCTTCACACGTCCCAACCCTCATGCTACATGGCTCTATTAACGATCTTGACTTTACAACATGAGCAAAAAACGGCTGCACATTACGCCCCCAGCTCCATTTAGGGTAGCCTCAATCTCTTTGGACTCATCCTATGAAACTCGTCTGACTGCCGCTTGTCTGATGCGTGGTGTCGAAGGTGTCTACGTAACTGATGATAAAGAAGTCTTTCCAATCTACTTCTATCGGTACGTCGAACAATACGCGAGTGCTATCGATTTCCAATAATCCATCGATTTTCCATATTTACAGTCGACGCGGTTCTCTGCAAGTTCCGTCATATCGGTGAGAATCAATCTATCGCACGAGTGTGACATTTCCGTTCCCTTTTTCTTCTGTTCCGCGAAGATTATTTTCTATCTTTATTCAGAACCCTGTGCAAAACTAGTAAGGGATATGCTCGATTTTTGAATACGGTAGGATCGCAATGCGCATACGTGTGAGAGGGAGAAACTTGGGGATGAACGAAAATCTGCTTACGCATTCTGAATTCTCCCTCCCCCTCTAAGCCTAACATTATTGTCTCTCATGACGTCATTGCATACATTGCGCACTTACAGTACCCAAAAATCGAGCAACCCCCTCACGCCGTAGCGGTCGACCGCGTTCCTGCGGTTGACCCCGATCCCCCTGGACTAATTTTGCACCAGAACCCATGCACTTTCCCTTCGTTTCACCCTTAACAAGATTTCATTTATATCTATTGATCAATTTCTTATGCGCTTAATCCATTTTTCATTTGAACAGATTGAATACCTTGATGTGTAGCCAATCGATTTCCAGGGAAAAGCGATTCTTTGACGCTGGAAATCCCATATCGCTGCCTTCATTTGATCACTTGACATCAATTCTCATGGAACACGACGGGATGGTATGTCCAATCTCTCGTAGCAAAATTTTTCAGAATACGAAGGTGTGGGTCCGATTTGTGCGGGCGGAACGCTGTTTTATTCCATCCATCCAGCCAGCATTATCCAGCGCCATGCCAGCTTTGCAAGTAAAGGAGATAAGCTTATTCACTATACAGAATGGGAGTGAGTTGAACACCGCAGGCGATTATTGACAAGTAACTGGCGATGAGTAAGCGGTAAGCTTACTGTATGTCCATCCCAGCGAAGGGGAGGGGGCCGTGTCAGCATAGCGAATGCCTATACTGCGTCATGCTACAAGCGAATCCCTCGATGATAAGGCAGCTCGCCACTAGTCCCGCCACTCCTGAACTCGCCGGCGTCTCGCTAGTACCTTCTCGCTGATTCGCTTTACGTTCACACGCAGTTCGCTTCTACCAACCACCGCGATCTAGGCCTCACACCAGAAATCAAACACTATGGGCTTTTCGCGTCTCGGGCGAATGGGTAGTCGAGCCAGAAGGACCCTCGGTAGGCGGTCGGCATGGCTTTGCGTTTTGCAGAGAAATGAGCTCAACCGGACACCGAATGACGGGCAGCAGCTTGTGCCAGTGCAGACCGCTTCTCCTATAGGGTACATTTGAAGTACCGACTCTACTCTACTTCAAATGCAACCTTCTTCTGAAAACATTCCCACCTTAAGGTTTGCCGGGAAAAGGTTTGCCCTGTTTGCTTTTCGAATTGGCCGAACCTTCAGGGATGCTTGGAAAGGAATGTTCAGGGAGAGCCGAAAAGAAATCACAGAAGCGAAAAGTGTCCCCAATTAGGAGTCGAGATTGCCAAAGACTAGCTAAGTGTGAGTTAGGCCGCTCATCTCATTGGTCGACCCTCCTTTTGATACGGCGAGGCGGAGAAGCCGACCAATGAGCGTGGCGCAGCGCATCGTCGAGCATCGATCCCCGCCCATGTGATCAGCCCACACTCCCAGTTTGTGTTTCCTGAACAGGTTGTTTTTCTTTTTCTGATCCTTTATAGTACGTCCTACTTCGTGGTGACTGGTACCCATCGACGCCTAGGAATGGTTGCCTTGCCTAACGGGGCTTGCACGGGGCTTAATTCCCTGAATAGTGTGCTGTTTAGCAACTTTCCTCTCGGCAGTGGCTCTGGTGGACTGCTTCACTTAGCATTTGATCCAGAGAGGAAATACGATCACTTCATCATAGCCAGGTGTGCAGATTTTTCATGGAACTTTGATTAGCGTATTGAGAACTTGAAAGACAAGCAGTCTATTTGGACCGGGTTAACCCATTAGCTTCTTGCTCACAATTTATACTTTATGGTCCAATTATGCGTCTTTTACATGACTATCGAATGGTCACAACGAATCTATCGAATACTTAATGCGATACTATGCTCAAAAAAAAAAGGATTAGCGCCTTTTAAGTCTAACGAGCTGGAGGCGGAAGCTGATTCGGGGTAATGCCCGTCAAGATGGAGAGCATGCAGAGGCGACATCGAGCACATCACCGTCAGTGCGAGGGAGTGTTGTCGGACCGCTTAAGTTCTTTCACCACTTCTGACCACTTACCCCCTCCCGCTCAAATTTGCTCCGCCTCCAAACACAGCAACCACTGCCTTTAAGGTCGCTTTTTTCATGTGTAAGAACTACTTCTAATTTGGCGACAAAGTGACTCAGCGAAGGTTGTAGCTTGAAGGTTGTAGCATGGCTTGGCAGTGAGCACTCAAACGTCAAATGATTTCAGTCAAGGAGCAATCTTTTTTACAGCATGTGTACCTGCTCACTACTGATTTTTTACGATTTTCTATTACGAGTCTCATGGCTCATCCATTTTCTCACGGTCCCATAAATGATCTAAAGATTCTTTCAACAGAGGACACCTACCTAGCTCTACACTGTTCTGACACTGAAGTTGTGATATCGGAACGAGATCTTGGTATGTTACTTTCTGCTAGTTTACCTTCGAAGTTATATTTACGTTTATTTAATCCTATGCCACCCTTGTAATCTTTATTACTCCGATCACATTTTCACTTTTATTGCTTTTTTTATTTCTCCCAGCTACATATTTTATGAAACTGCTCACCGATCAGATCGGCCTTATTCACACCCTCATTAAGCAGGAGTATGCGAAAGAAGAAGCAGCCAAAAGAAATATAAATTTCGAAAATCATGGACCCCCCAGATTCTGAAAGGTCAAACCCGCAGTACGACGAAGAGATACAGTGCGGAGAGGAGTACGCAAGAGACTACTTCGTGTGAGAGGGCGCAGACACAGTGTAAACGGGAGTAAAACGATCGGTTGACCACATCTGAATTTGGTGGCAAAGTTTTCACAGTTTTCGATTCCTTTCTACCCATTTCAGGGGGTTTCTACCTTAACGGGGTAGGAACACTGAGATGAATCTCTATGATTGCAGATCGTTGGCATCGGGTCACCTATCACTCGGGTGGTGCTATCTGCCTTGGCCAGTACGCCATCGTGGGACGCGGCGGTCGGCGGGCGCCATTTTCCCTCGATCATCGTGGTGCATTTGCCGTCACCGGTAGTAAGACCTACGTACGAATCAAGGCGCTGCACTACACTGAAGGTAACTACTTCCTAAATCTAATAACTTGTTATGAGTATTGTCGCTCTAGACAACCTTGTTGGACTACACGATTTGGGACAATCTCGAGTGACCGACGAGAGAGCGGCAAAGATGTCGAGGTAAGCCCGAGCAGTTAGCCCAAATCTGCAGCCCCCTAATCCTGACACTTTTAGGTACTCAATGTGAGTCTTGATCCTACCATGGAATGTCGCCCACTTCCCTGTAAACTACGATATTCTGTTGGGTATGCCGATAAAGCAATCAGGTGAGTGCTAAGATCGACTGCCTGGGAAAAGGATATCAGATGGTAATGCTCTGGGTATATGAGACGCCTCGAGAGACGCGCAATTCTCCCAATAGTTCTGTCGCCAGCGCCAGTACACGGAGAAGACACCGGTTGGTCTTGTCACCGTGACCTTCAGTGTCAACGAAAATCAATTGGATTCTTGAAACACATCTTTTTGATCCAAACTGAACATAATTTGCGAGTGTGTAGTTCAGAAGGGTGGAAAATTTTAGGCCAGTGTCAGACTTTTCGAATCGAGTGATTCGAGCGATTCGCCATTCGCAAAGTCTGACACCGGTCTTGGCCTTAGCCATCTTTAGGAAAAAAAAAACAGGAGCAGGAAATCTTATAGATGAAAAGAAAGGAAATAAGTTGACCGAATGATACTTTTCTGAGTTCCTTACGCTCTTCTCAGACTTTGCGAATCGCGCGATTCGCTAGCGTCCGCGGTCGCGTTGCGGTACCAGCCAATTGAGTGATTCACTGGCCGCTACGCGACCGCAGACGCTAACGAATCGCGCGATTCGCAAAGTCTGACATCGGCCCAAGCTCGGCCAATACTCTTTGGTTCTTGCACATTCCTAATTCATTGATACTCAATGAAACTCGCTGTTTGGAGGAAGAACTGCAAAACACTAATACTTCTTGGACGCGTGCCGTTGTTGAGCGGTCCGAGACCTTAATTCCTGTTCTTTTCTAAAAGTCTTCTCACAATCTGGTCAGTCAGACCACTCACTCGACAATACCTAAAACGTGTATGTGAGGACTCCGAATACAGTTCCTGCATATTCTGGAATAGTCAAACTCTCGCTATATTTGAAAAAAGAGCTATCTGAAGTGATTACTGCTTTTCAGGACCTATGTTGCTCTACTGACTGGGCAGCACGAATTCACCGTGTCAGAAAAGTTTATTGCTCAAATCGAACCTCTTCATTGTGTTTCACTGGTACATTTTTCCATAGATTTGAAGTCTACGAGAATTCTCTAAAGAACTATAATTCAGATGATCTGTTTCCATGGACGTCCGATGGGGTGCTATGCGGCCAGTGGAAAAACCTTACAAGTTTGGAATGATCTTGATCGCCATCAGCAGAAGAAAATGAAGAGTGAACGGATGGAGCTGAAGAAGGTACGATCCAGTACCTGCAAGCTGGCCCCTGTCATAGCAGGCATTCCTGGTTTTGTTCTGCGTTCAATTTCCCGAGAATTACCTGATCAAATACTCGCTACCTCTGCGCAACACACACACTCAATCAATCTACGACTGACTATGGCGGGAAAGGACGCGGCGCGAACCAAAATTTGTAACTGATCATTTCAAACTAAGAAACCTTTAGTGGATTTTTCAGATGGAGGTGGCAATATCATCAATGGCTCGAGTTGAGGGTCGTTCCTGTTACCTTCTGCTCGGCTACAAAGACAGCCGAGTACAGATTTTTGAAGAGCGCGGTAAAGGGACCCGGTAAACTTGACTCGATTGGCTGGATCGATGAATGCCATCCAAACAGCGACATTCGTTTTTGCCCGTTTTACCGTTCGTTTACATGTTTTTGGAAGTTTTCGAGTCAGCAAAGAAAGCCAGGAAAAAGGGGAGACTCAGTACTAGGTGTGCTGAGAGATTTTATTGACTATTGAATATCACAACAATAAAAAAAGCAACTACATTGAAATCAAGTGTATGTAGGTAATGAAGTACCTTTCGGCTTTCAGGTATCTTAGTGAAAAAATTGACCAAAAGCCTCAGCAAACGTTTGAAAAGTTAATATGGATGATTATAGTCCTTCGAGCCCGTGTTGATCCACTTTCGTCCGGCGATCGGCTTTTCATACTTTCAATGGCCGGCCCATCCATATTCATTCATTCTGCGCTGATAGAAGCCGGAAAACTGGTCGAGGTAGGACAGAATAGATAAAGTGCTTCAAAATCACTCTATATTTCGGAAATGGTACGACAATAAACGTTTTTCAGCTCATCTTGTTCTAGGCCAATCTGAACATGAATGGCGGCCCTTCGTCGTCGGCGATGCCGTATTTTCAGTCAATGCACTTTCTATACCACGACTAATGTATGCTATACGAAGTTATTACGTCCTCTACAATCTTAACTTCTATGTAGTGAGTCTCTTTTGCGTCGTGACCACAAGAATTTTCAAAAAAATAGTACATGCCATGTGACCAATTCAAAATGGTCACCTGCGACGCACTGCGGCCTGGATTTGGGTGAAGCAGAAAGTCGACTGCGGAAAGTTCTGACTTTATCTTTCGCGAGTTTCTAGAGAATCACTCAAAATTATAATGTAGGCCTTTCGAATTTGCCGTCTATGGAAAAGGAATCGCTATGCATAAACTTACAGCTGATGAACGTAAACGCCTTGAAAAATACCGTGATTTTGAATTCTAACAATTTCCCCCAGAAAGCTTCCCTATAGTGTTGGGCATGTATTTATTTCCCCAGTCATTTTCTTCTTTGCGTTTGTTTCATTCTCTATTTTGAGTCAGAGATTTCTATGCTTACAGAGTATTTACGTAGTGCCTTAGGTGAGATTTTCTGGTAGCCTTCGTTAACCTATAGCTGGTTGACCATGTGCATTTAAATGCGCATAATATTATATATTTGACCTCAGTCAATATTTCGAGCCATGACTATTATATTGCATTGTATGTGTTTCGGGTATCATTTTGTGCCTTTTTCTTTATGTTTGGGTTTGTTACAATGTGATAGATTCACGTTCACTTATTAAAGAGAGATTGTTTGATGGTCGTTAGCCAACGCTTATTACAGCTCTTATAACTGTTATAAGTATAATTTTTATAAACGAAGTATAAGTTTATTACGTTTGCATAAGGCACACGTGAGAAATAATTGACACCATTATGAATCACATGAACTGAACAAGAAATAACTACAAAACACCTATATTTTTAAGAACAACGAGCTTTGGTAATCAGTCTCAAAAAATGCTATGAACCTCTAGTTCTGAGTAATATATTAGATATTCGTCGCTTGAATTGTGCTTGTGTTAAAGAAGCGGGTATATTTTTCGCTATATTCAAATAATCACTACCGGCTCTATATGTGAAGTTCTTAGCACGCACATTACTCTTGGGTCGCGTTAATGATATTTTCATGGATCCACCTCTAGTTCTCGAATATGACATTTTGAAGACATTGGAAAATCCAGACACATAATAATTCTGTACCAGTTTATGAACAAAACATAGGTCAAACACTCTGCGCCTCCATTCAAGAGATGTCAGTTTGAGACTATTATTCCTGGTAGCCGCGTTCGGTATATTATAGTACTGGAAACCTCCCATTCTAATGAATAGTTTACGTGTAAAATTATTTTGAACTTTTTCAATTGCGTAGATGTGTTTCTTTTTGAAGGGGTTGAATACTGTAGTGCTGGACTCAACTAATGGCCTTACGTAAGACTTGTATGCACGTAGTAATGCTTTTTGATTGGCCAAAGATAACCCTTTGAAAATTTGAAATGTACGTAAATGGGCTGCTTGAACCCTTCTTTTTATATGCTCCGAGAAATCTAATTTATCGTTGTAGTGAAAACCTAAGTCTCTGACTGACTGTACAGCAGAGAGGGGAATCCCATTAACAGTGTATGAGTTCACTGAGGGTGGAATGCCGACAGCTAACTGCATGTACACCGTTTTATGTGGAGACATGGGTAGTTGCCATTCTTCAGACCAGCGTACTGTTGCATCGACTGCCTTCTGCATACTATGAAAATCACCGATGCTCAGTATAGGCTTATAGATTTTCAAGTCATCAGCATAAACCTTTGCAGTGACGCCTGCTTCCTGGAGCATAAAAGGAAGTTCGGCTGTGAAAATATTAAACAGTATCGGTGATAGTACACCTCCTTGAGGCACCCCACTTTTCACATGTTTAATGTCAGAAAATGAACCATCAATTTTAACCTGGAACGTTCTACCTTTCAGATAAGTCGAAATCCATTTGATTATAACCGGGTGAAAACCAAGGATCTCTAGCTTATATATCAATTTTTTGTGTGAAACTCTGTCAAACGCCTTTGCGAAGTCAAAGTAAATGACGTCACAACGGTGCTTATTATCTAGAGTTTCGGTCCAGTCATTCAAGCATTCAATCATATTTGTTTCAACCGAACGGCCTGGAAAAAAACCGTGCTGATGCTTTGAAATAACGTTATTTATCAGTAGATGATTAATGTGATTTTTTAAAACCTTCTCAAAGAGTCTACAGAATAGGGATGTGATGCTTACAGGGCGGTAGTTTTCTGGGTGCCATGAAGGCTCTTTTTTCAGTATAGGTGTGACGAAAGAATGCTTCCATCTCGAAGGTATTTCACCAAATGTGAGTGACTGATTGAATATGTATGCCAGAGGACCGCAAATAACATCAGCCGTTTTCTGAACAACAAGAATGGTATAAAATCAGGAGTAAGTGAG